AAAAAGAAGTACAGTACAAAATAAAACAGTAACTAGGAAAAACATGAATACGCAACTCAAATGTCTTATCAGTACCCAGCTATAACCAATCCTTAGGTAAGATACAAAACCACAGAATAACTTTATAGCAGAAGAAGGATACATAACAATAAACTAATGCGGCGCGCATCCCGATCCCACGATATAATCAGTAACAATATGAACATTCACCCTTGTTACTCCTTATCAATCCACCCTTATTCCTCCTGTTGCGGCATGCACCCCAAGCCCATCGTACAATAACAATCTACCCTTATTACTCCTCAATATATCACCCTTATTCCTCCTGTTGCAGTGCGCAACCCGATCCCACTAGACATTCACATTTCACCCTTATTCATCCTGTTGCGGCGTGCAACCCGATCTCACCATATCAGTGCCAATCACAGAGTAAGAATCGAAATTTCAGAATTTGGCTCAAAACCTTCCACAATATTTAAGCCTCAAACCTAAGAAACAAAAGGCTATACAATTATGAAACTTCACCCAACTAATACTACACAACGAGCCCAACCAAAATATACCATGAAATACCGGTAACCAACTTAAACCAATAATGTAATACAATAAAACTACAGAATAAGTAATACCTTCAATAAAGGAAACAACATCTAACAAGAAGCAATTAAATACGGAAGCACCAATAAGCACGTAGCAGTTAAGACAAGAAAACAATATATTAGGAACGGGAAAGGGAACAAGCTAAACATATAATTTGACGGCGCATAGGTACTCGTCACCTCACCTATACGCCACACACATGGATTTTCACATAGCAAGTAAGTCGGGGATCCCTAATCCCTCGAGTCAAAGTTAGACACAATACTTACCTCGATCCACATGTCACTCACTGCTCAATTATCACTTTTCCTCTAGATTCCATCTCCAATCCACTCGTATCTAGTCATAATTAACTTAATCACATCAATTATCGCTCAAGAAATCAATTCCAATGCATAATTATAAGTTTCCCAATATTTTCCTCAAAAAGTCAAAACCCGACCCCAGGCCCGCTTGGTCAAACTCGAGGTTCGGACCAAAATCCATTCACCCTCGAGCCCAAATATATAATTAGTTCCGGAATCCGACCCCAAATCGAGGTCTAAATCTCCAATTTATAAAAAACCTCAATTCTTCCCAAAATCCCTAATTCTACCATGAAAAAAACAAGATTTATGGCTAGAAATATAATGGGTCTTGATGAAAATTGAATCAAATGAGTTAAAGAACACAAACCTATGATTTGGTGTCGAAATCCCTCTTCAAAATTGCTCCTAGGTCGAGTTCTAATGAAAGAGTTGTGAAATTTTTGAAGAAATCCCATGCTGGTTCTGTTTTAAAATCATTGGACAGGCCTTATTCGCGTTCGCGAAGCTATGGCGGCCCACGCGTTCGCGAGAAACCCTTCGCTTTCGTGAAGGCATACTCCCCCAGCCTCCGCGTTCGCAAGCCAAGTGTCGCGTTCGCGATGAGTTATTTTTCCCTACCCCAGGTCTTACGCTTCGCGTTCGCGAAGGGTAATGCTCCCAACGCTCCGCGTTCCGACCAACACTTCACGTTCGCGTAGAAGGATTCTCCTTCAGACCAACATACTCTCCGCATTTGCGAGAGTCCCTTCGCGAATGCGAAGAAGAAGATACCAGATGACAGTTGCAGCCAAAAACACTAGATTTTTCAAGTCTAAAACATCCCGTAGCCTATCCGAAACTCACCTGAGCCCTCGGGGCTCCAAACCAAACATGCACACATGTCTAAAAATATCATACTAACTTGTTTGCGCGATCAAATTTCCAAAATAATACCTAGAACTACGAATTTAACACCAAATTGCATGAAATTTTCAAGAAAATTCAAAACTTTTATTTTCTCACCCAAAGGTCCGAATCACATTAAATCAGTTCCGTTTCACACTAAATTTTACATATAAGGTTTAAATATCATAACGGACCTGTACCGGACTTTGGAACCAAAATACGAACCCAATACCTATAAGATCAAATATTAACCAAACTCTTAAAACCATTATAATTTTAATCTTTCAATTTTAAAATTTATTTTCCGGTCTATGTACCTCGGAATTCGATTCTGGGCGTACACCCAGATCCCATATTTTACTACGGACCCACCGGGACCGTCAGAATACGGATCCGAGTCTGTTTACCCAAAACGTTGATCGAAGTCAATAAAAATCAACTTTTTAGGGCATAAAATTATTATTTCGTCAATTTTTTCACATAAAAGCTTTCCGGAAATATGTTCGGACTGTACACGCAAATCAAAAAGAGATAAAATAAGATTTTTAAGGCCTAGGAATATAGAATCGAGTTCTAAAACAGAAGATGGTTTTTTGGGTGATCACACTAATTAATGTTTTATGACACGTAAAGACAAAAAAAATAGTTGTATTCTCTATCTGAACAAACTGAAATTGACGAACCGAGTAAATCAAAATAGAACTGTACAAAAACTGAATCATACCAAAGTTAATTAGGTTTTGTATTGATACAACATTTAAAAAAAACGAATACCAAACATACCGAATCAAAGATCTATCAAAATCATACCAAATTGATCGATGAACAACCAGCTCAGGAACCCGAACAAATTAGCATAGAAAAAGAGTAATTTTCGAGATTTTAAGTTTTTTAACAGATATCTCTCTGAAATTTAATGTAAATGCCAAATTTAATCTAAAACTCCAATGGGACACAAGACAAAGGGAAAAATTCGACATGGAAAATGCCTCAATTAATTTTGATATTTAAGTAGAACAGATAAAACGTAGAATTAAGAGGAAGCGAGAGAATTAGGTTGTTCAAATAGTCTTTTTAAAAAGGAAAAAAATGTATACTCTTTTTCGTCCCACAATTTTTCTAAATATAGGTCATATAAATGACACGATTAAGAAAATTCGCTGAAGTACTAATTTCATCTTCTTTTTTGCCTTTTCAACCTTTTGGTATACTTTATGTTAAAAAAAAAAAATATTGTAACTAATCTATATCTATCTATATCTATACTACATTAAAAGCACGAAGCCCCTATCGAAATATTGTTCGTCATTTTTATCCTTCATATATGCGTTCCACGTTGGATATAATTGTAATTGTAATCAGAAATTCCACATGTTTCCGATCCCTGAGCCTAACAATAATCAAGGAGAGAATGCTATAGTTGGTTTAGGAGTTTTAAATGAATGTCTAAGTGTGGCTTGCTTGAAAGATGATAAGGGGAGTGTTGAGATATTGGTCATGAAGGAATATGGAGTAAAGGAATCATGGACATCATTATTTTTCATAATGAATTTAGAAATAAATCCTTCTTATGGATTTGTAGTGCCCTTTTTCGTGACAGGAGATGAAGAACTAGTTTTGGAGATATATGATCGTAATAGAAAAATTGTTATATACAATCCTAAGAATGATAATATGTGAGACATTGTTATTGACGGAGAGAAAATAAATGCCATGATTAGCTATGTGGCAAGCTTGATCTCGCCAAAGGTGTGCTACTGGAATGAGGAGGAGCACAAAAAATTTGGACAGCTAATTTAAAGGCTTCCCTAACTTCTTTTTTTCTATTTTTTTTTCTATAATGACAAAGTTGAGGAATAGCATAAATGGTCTTTGGTCTCCGGTGGATTTAAATTATGTTCCGTAGTCCTTTGTTCTAAGAATAAGTTTCTGATTTGGGCGACAAGTTTTTACGGTCATTTGCTGGGACTGGCAAAAGTCATTTTCCTTACATCTATCTTAAATTAAATTAATTTTAACTTTATATTAATTACTCCAACTAAATCAGAGAGTAATTTGATTGATTTCTCGAGTAATAAAGATTAAGAATAATGTGTGTGTATATATATTCAAAAAAGAAAAAGAAATCACACTATTAAAAATTCACAGGTATGCTTACACAGTTACACTTCCACTTGTTTGACTTGGTCCACGGTGTGGTGGCGGTAACATTTCTCCATTGGAGGTTGATATGGATTTTGTGAATATATAACTCTATATAAATAACTTTAATTTTTAACAATTTGAATATATTGAAAAACTTTGAATGCGGTTGGAAACCAAAATTGTTTAGGATTTGATACTATGCAAGTTTATTTAATTCATGTTTATTAGGATTTGTAATCAAATTAATATCTAAATAGGTTTTTCTAATTTTAGCTAAAATAAGTTTCGTACTATTATAAATAGGGATACTGTTAGCTTATTTTAAGTATGAAAAATTATGTGAAGAATTATAGAGAATGTGCGAAGAAGGGGAGAATTGTTGAGCTCTTTTAAAGATTTATAATAAACTATTTTCTTCATCAAATACTGTTTTTTTTCAAATATAGGTTATAGTTATATAGCAGTTACTAACATCTTCCATAGAAAAGTTGGGGTTTAGTAGGGTAATATTATCGCAGCTTTCCTTGATGGAAAGCCAAAGAAACAAACGTTCATTTCAAACACGAAAAAAGCTAGTGGTATATCTACCTAGCGAAACTAAGACCTAATTAATACGTGTCTTGTTCAGTCTTAAGACCTAATTAAACTAAGACCTAATTAATACGAAAAAAGCTTCCGGTCATATCAAGCCCCCACGAGTCTTAAGCAAAATAATATCGAGAATGAGACTTGTTCGAACCCCCGAATAAGACCTAATTAATACGTGCTAAGGCATTCGAAATCTTTGCAAACGTAAAGAAAAGAGCAAAAATAAACAAGCTTAAAGAAATTGTCGAAGAAAAAAGCTGTGTATATGTATATGCTCCCTCCGTTCCAATTTATGTGAACCTATTTGACTGCGCACGGAGCTTAAGAAAAAATGAAGACTTTTGAAATTTGTGGTCCTAAACAAGTCAAAAAGGGGTACAGAGTGTTTGTGTGGTTATAAACGTTTCTCATTAAGGATAGAATTGGAAGTTTAAACTAAATTATTTCCAAATTTAGAAAGGGGTCATTCTTTTTTGAACGGACCAAAAAGGAAATAGGATCACATAAACTGGAACGGAGGGAGTATTAAAAGATCTTTACAAAGGCCAAATGTCCTCAACAAAAACATCTACAAAGCACCTAAGCAGCAACCTGGTCTTTTTCACTGGAGCTGACCTCATCACCAGGACCATCGGGGTCCGCTCCGCCACCAGATCTGTCGGAACCCTCGGAGTCTTCTTTCCCTTTAGGATATGCCAACTTCTTGGTCTCGACCTGGAGCCTCTTGCCGATAAATCAAAACCCCGGGCATGAGCCTCGTCGAGAGCTTCCCTTCGGGACTACCACTTCACATATTCAACGCAATGTCTTTTAGGCGATCCTTGGTTGCCTCAGCATCATCTTTGTACTAGGCCACCATCTCATCAGCACCGGCCTGACTATTTCAACCACTGACTTGGCTGCTTTGACCTACTTGGCAAGGGTATCCCGATTGGTATAACCGAGCCCAATTGAGACTGGAGGTCCTTGATTTTTTGGGACTGGGCCTCAGTTTTCTCTCTCACTGCTCGAATTTGAGCCTCCGTCGAAGCCAGTTGTGCCCAGGCAGTCTCCTTTTTCGAGGCCAAATGATCCATCATGCCCTTCCACTCTTCGGCCTCGACCTTAATTACATCCATATTGGCTCGGAGTTGGTCGATCCGACCGAGCTTCTGTTATTCCTTCAGGTTCTGACCGTTAGTTACCGTGTTTAGCTCGTCATCACTAACTTCAAAGATTTTTACTGTTCCACCAGGACATCGTATTCTTTCTGAGCCACGTCCAGCTCAGCTCGAAGGCTCTTGACTTCTCCTTCATGTTGCTCGCTGAGAAGCTTATAAATGTATCTCTTCTCAGCAAGCTCTTTAACTTCGGCTTCCAGCTGGATCAGCTCATCCCGATATCGGAGGAAGGTTTCATAGTGAAGTACTGAGACCAGCAAATATGAGAAGAGATATTAGGATCATCGAGAACTAAACATGAAAAATAAAAAAGTGTGGTAACACCTTACTCAGTTCAGCACCTATTGTGCTTCATTAAACAGGTGTGAGGCATCCTCCTCGTTCATTTTTGCCTGGCCTTCGTCGGTTACCAGGCACCGAAGGTAGCTAGCTATCCCAAGGGGGCGGAAAGAACCCGAGCATCCTCATGGACGGTGATAACGATTTACCGCTCCCGGTCAGGATCCTTGCTCAGAGCCGGGAACCGGTTGACGAACCTCGGGCTTGAGTTCGACCCGCCAATCTCTGAGGATGGGCTTTTCCTCGGCACCCCAAAATCACCCAATCCGTTGAAGTCCTCCAGAGTGGACGGGTCTACGCCGTCAAAGAAGTATCGAAGGGGATCATCCACTCCATAGGCCCCCTCGTTTGATCGCTCCTTGTCGTTTTGGTTTCGTCGAACATTGATTATGTGAACAAAGGCGATGTCGTAATATCTATAAGGCTCGGCGAGGCAGAGCCAGCATCTCGAGAGTTCTCGGCCCTCTCTACAGCATCAACCTCAGGAACTATAGAATTATTAGCCTCCATTGTTTCCCCCTCGCCTGCCGCCCGTTCTTCCAGGACAGATAGCTCTTGGGCCATAAACAGTTCGTCCTCGTTGGGCTCATCCCTGAGACGAAGGAGTGAGTCCGAGTCGAGCACTCAGGAACTGGAGGTTTCCTTTGGCTTGTGAACTAGCCTCCTTCTCGGTTTCTTTTTATCCGAGCTTGGGGAGTTCGGATCCCTCATCCTTTTCCTCTCTCAGGCCTGCCCCGGAGCAGGAGACTCAACAGGCAAGTCCTCGTCCCCGACTGCAGGCCTAAGCTCAACGTTCTTAGGCAAACATGGAAAAGGAAGTAAAGGAAATAAGAACGCAATGCCAGAAGAAGAAGCTCAATACAACTTAATCGGGAAAGGAACCTTACCATGGGAACGGGCCTCCCAACGTCCCTTCGAAGGTTCGCGCCATGAGCACTCGGAGTAGGGCATATGTGATACAATACCCTCGACCCACTCCTTGAGCCGAGGAATAGCATTCGGAACTCGAGCAAGGGCTGCACCACAATAAACGCCAATAAGAAAGGGGAAGATGAAGCATAAAATTGATGCTTGAAAGGAGTTGTACTTTACGGGATATATTCCACCTCTCGGGGAATGGCCTCCACTCGACGGGTACCAGGTCGGTAGTCCTCACCCGGACAAAACGTCCTTGCCAACCCCGATCCCGGTCCTTACCAACGCTTGAAAATAGGGCTTTACTGGCCCAGCGTACAAGCTTTATCAATACCCCCCCCCCCCCCCCCC